TGGTTGGTGCAGAGCTCGTGAAGGTGGCCGGAGGTGATCCCAGATGGTGGACCGTACGAACAGTCGGTGGCGAGCTCCTCTAGATAGCCGGTGGTGATCCCCGAACAGTCAGGCGCCGGCACCGGTGAGCCTTTCAGGCGACGGCGAGCCCTTCCCCATATCCATGCGGCTTTCAGTTTGTCCGAGAGAGGGAGAAAGAAAGAAGACGTCGGGGCAACTTAGGATACACTGGAATGACCCAATTACCCCTAATTACTTTTAATTAACAAAAAAAATCCACAGGGAGGAACCACGGATTCTTCCCAAGCACCGTAACAAACCTCAAATTTAATTGTCTATTTCTCGTCTTAATGAAAACCATCAAATTCCTCCTAGATTGGATCTCGTTTTTTTAGAGGGAGTTTCAATACCCACTAAGTCCTATGTCTAGGAGAAACATTTCGATCCATTTTGGATCTTGGTGGAAAGATACTTATATATTCAGCTGACTGAACAACAAACATTCTGGTTTTATTCAAAGACCATTAGAATCGTGTGGTTTATATATTTAGTTGCAAAAATGCAACTCTAGCTAGCTAATCATTTGTCTTGTTAGAGCTCATTGGAAAGGTACTTTCAATAATATAGTACTCATAACCTGCTCAATCGCCACATTTGGCTTTCATATATACTATATTAAGGGATGGAAACATGTCTTCCAAAGGTGAAGGTCCAATCCAGACATCTTGCCAAAAATGTTTCTGGGGCTCATTGTTCAAAATAAAAGGACCTAATCTCATAAATCGCTCTTTGGCCTTTGTAAGGCAAGATCAAAAGTGAGAATCTCTATGTTTCCATTGTACCTCACCAAAAGTTTTATTTTTGAAGTACTTCTTAAGAAGTTGTTGCCAGACGTACTCCATCCTCATTAAATAAACTAAAAAGACACTTAACAAGTAAGCAAATATTTTAAATATTTAGATTTTGTATACCCAATCCTCCATGATCCTTCATGTACAAATGATATCATGTTTGACTAACCTATACTTATTTTTATGATCACCACATTGCTTAAAAACCAGGATTTGTTGTAGTTTAATTTCTTTAGGATCCCCGAGGGACCTCAAGAATTATAATATATACATCACTAAATTGTTAATACTTTATGAAGACTAAACGACCCACCAATGGTCAACATCTTTTCCTTTCGAGTTGCTTTGTTTTTTTTAACCTCTCTTCCACTACTTTTCTATCTTTATTTGGAAGTCTTCTATGATGCATAGTTTCTTCGATATATTCAAAGGGTAGCTCCCCATTTAACATCCAAATATTTGTGAGTATTAATGTTGAAAATCCTTTGCCTTCCCATAACAAAATAATCCACTCTTATGGAATGTTTTCTTTAAGCCAAAGCAAAGACTTCATATTGTTGTATTTTTCAACTAAGTGAGGAACCACTCCTTTGGCCATCCTCTTTTGATCTTGCTACAAAAATGGCCAGCATATACACAACTACATTAAAGAGAATATAAGAGACATCCCCTTCTTAGCCATTTCTTTGTTTCGAAACAACAACCAATGATATCATTTACCTTAACTCTAACACTCCCCCATGCATGCATACTAGGATTTGAAAACTGGTCACCTTTTTCCTAATGAGACACGTGCATTGTATTTCGTTACAAAAAATAAATTAGGTGGCACTGTAGCTGTATCTATAGGATGGTCATCATTGAAAAGGGCTTATAGTTTAGTCAATCGTCCTTTTGTTTGTTTTCGTTTTTTAGAGCTAAAAATTGCAAAAGGCTAGAACTATAATAAAAATTGGTTGTGTGCAAAACCCTTACAGAGACCAAAATGAGCTTCCTTTTTCTATAATTATACTTAGCAACTCGCAACATAAAACTTATCCAAGAATATGTGTCCACAGGAAATCAATCAACAATGGGGAAGACAGTTGGATATACACTGAAGTTGGATGGAGATGAAGGGAAAAAGGTGGAAAACACAGAGGAGAATATTCTGTTATAATTCTTTTCTTCCTGGCGATGGATTAGGCTTTAGTGACTTTGATAGAGCATAAAAGCTTTTCATAAAGTAAAGAAAGACTGGCCATCAAAAGCTCATGTGTGGCATTTTCTGGCCGAAAGCCGGTCTGCAGGGCGCAGCAGCTGATCGCAGTACACTCCTTTGAATCTCTTTTGCTTGTTTGAGCCACAACTTTTTCAGATAGGGAGCACAATGCCATTAAACTACGTCTCCTTTGGGCAAAACGGATCCTCACAGTTGCTTCTCTGGGAAAACTGAAGATGCCATCCTTTTTTTTTACAGGCCCATGATTTATTGCCATTCTCGTAATGTATGCTAATAGAGAGCTAATATTCCCCGTAAGATGTTTCAAAACTCAAAAGAAAACTCAAACTAGCCCCAAAGAAACAAAAATGCAAATGAATATGTAGCCGTACATTTGATTCCTGAATGCATCCGTAGGGACAGTAATTTATTCATAGGAACTTGCAGGAGTGCATCTGCAGTTCGAATCAAATATAAGGCAGCCGAAAGATTTGACAAACCCAATTCTTGATTTGCGGTCGTTCACCCGGGGCCAATGTCGTCTCTGCGCTGTGCGGGCGGCAGTTCGGCATGGCCCACTTTTGCAGCGCAGTGTGCGGGATTGATCGCTAGATTGTCACCCGCGCAACTTTTCTTAAAAATTACTCTCTCCGTTTCAAATTATAAGACCGTATAATCTTAAATATTAAGACATTTTAAAAAATACAAAGTTATACTAAATCTTAAGATTTTCCAGAAGATTTAGAAGTTGTGGAAATATTTTTTTTCCAAAGAAAAGCCATGGGGCCTGTGGGACGTCGTTCGCTGATTTATGTGTAATAATTTTATAACTTTCAAAAATGAAAGTTGTGGAAATAATTTTTTTCCAAAACAAAGAAAAGTCGTGGTGGTTGTGGAACTGACCACTGGATTCCGGCCCCGTTCAAATATCGTTTGGCGAACTCCGTAAAAGTCCATGTTTCCTGCTCAGAAATTTTTAGGTCGGACCATATTTCGGCAGTGCGGCAGATTGGGCCGTCTCAGATCACATGGCCGTGCCGGAAATCTCATAGCCCCCGCCCCAAGCGTATGGGCCTCCAAGCTAGCTGTAGCTAGGCCCGTTGAGAGCCTATAATGTGACATTCCGATGGGCTCCGTCTGCTGCTGATTTTGTCGGCCCATGCTCGTGGTGCCGCGCGCCAGAAAGCAGCCCAGCACGTTCAAGCTGAAATTTTGCCCCGAGACATTCTTCTGGAGCGGCCAAGGTCACTTCAACCTACGCTCCATCCACGTGCTACGTACTACCACTGACGCGCGGACCAGTGACACGCGGGACCACCATGTCATGCTACCGCCGCTGACCCCGGGTACCTTCCCGACGCGTAGCGGTTGCGGTTCACCGCGATGGTGCGCTGGCGTGAGCCAATCAGGAAGCTCCCCGCCAAAACCCGGGGTGAGGTACGCGCGCGAGCTGGCGCGTGGTCCAGCTGTCAGCGTGGGAGGAGGAGGAGGTGGGAGCCGGGGACGCGACGAGGCGGGCGGCGGGAAAATAAAAGCGCGCGCGCACTTCTTCACCCCGGGCCCGGGAGGATTCGGTCGGACGACCCCACACAGCTAGCTGGACAGTTTCTCGTCGGTCACGCTTTGCTGCTTTTTGCTGCGCGCCCATGGTTTTCTTTTCTCCTCCCTGTGATGAAATGACGAGCGCGTCGCGTCACGTTGCATCACCCGTATTTCAACCAAGTATAGCATCGGCAGAATTTTTTTTTTCTCAGGCTTACTACAAATATACTAGCAGGAGTACTCTGTACGTGGTTTTATGTCAAGGAGTATACAGTGATACTCGTTGTCTTGTAGTGCTTACTAGTAGATGGAAATTATTTTGGCCTTGCTATTAACCTATAAATTTCTAAGTTTATAAAGAAATATATTATTCTGTCTGCTTCGCTGAAAAGTCCGGTTAAAAAGTATTGTTGGCTGATTTGTTGCGAGAGAAAAACACTATATCATGGCTGATAAGTTCAAGCGAACAGGGCCATATCTACGTTACCAAGTAATTATATGCATTTTAAGGCAAATCTTGTCTATAAATTTAGTTGAAACTATACAAATTTAATTTGGGATCAATCAAAAATGACTTGTGGTTTTTGAAACTCGCCACAAGAATAACTCTTAAACTCGAGCACTACTTCAACAAACTAAACTAAGCCGCGCCATCAGAATTTGAGTCCCCATCTAAGATGAATTTAGGATCATGAATACTTGCCAAAAATGCTTGAATAAGCATTTGTTTACTACCTGAAATCATACTCCTGTAAGTCCTTTAATTTTAAGCACAAAAGCATAAATTTACAAAGCTACAACTATAGTTCAAATAAATAAATCTACTATGGTCTTTCTTTTACCCGAACGCAACACGCGTGAAGTGTTTTGTAACTGGTTTTTGTAATGTTTGACTAACCACATTTTAAACTAGAGAGAGAGAGCGCGCGCATTAGCAGCCTTTTAGAAGCTATCTTAAACTACGCGTTTCCTAAGTCACAAAAAAAACTACGCGTTTCCTGTTTGCTACTGTTTACATACATATTCAACTATACAAAATTCCATGATTTTAGAATAATTTTGAATTACAAATGCACGGAAACAGAATTGCTCAAACATTTTTGTTTTACAGTTTTGCCCCTCTTCCTCCAGGCAGGCTCCAGTAGAGCTACAGCGGCGTCCACACCATCCACACCATAAACTCGGCAAGTCGCAACACCCACTGAAAACTCCAATTTCCCTCGCTTCTCCCACCCCCTTCGTTTCCCTCGTTTTCTTCCCTCCCCTCCCCTCCGCTCCCCTCACCTCCCATCCCCTACCGGCGCAAACCCTCGCCCGCCGCCTTCCTCCCCAGATCCCAGTCGCCCGCCCGCCCGCCCGCGCGCGCTGGCCCTCCGATCCGCGCCCCCGCGCGTGCCCGGATCCCCATGGCGGCGGCGGCCGGCGACGGGGCCAGCGAGGCCAGGGCGCGGGCGCTGCTGCAGCACCACCAGCCGTTCGCGCCGCTGCCAGGGGAGTACCACCACTTCGGCGCGCCCGCCGCCGCCGCCGAGGAGATGGTGGAGGCGGTCGTCCTCAGGACGCCAGTGAGTTCCGGGGAGCGGGAGTTGTTGTTCTGAAATTCCCCGTTGTTTGGGTCCGATGTTCTAGCGCGCCGGTTTATATTGGCCCGGCCCCTCCCGTCGGCGGCCAGGGGAGCTGGGGGAGTGCGCGCGTATCAGGCGGACTGAATCGACTGTAGCAATGCGTGGCGAGCGAGCTGAGGTGGATGGGGATGGCTGCGTTTTGGTGTTAGCAAAGACGTGTTGCTTAATTTTGGTACATATGGTCCGATCTGCTGCGAATTCTGCACGGATTCGTGGTATCTGCAACTTGTCGTTACTTTAGGTGGTGATTAAGGATAGTTTGCTGCGGTTTAGGTGAATGTTGCTAGGATGTAGTAAGAGAATGTACTAATCTGCTGGAATTTGGTAATTGGATGATTGAAGGAATGGACTATGACCTTTTTACCTGGTCTGTACCCACATTTAGAATAAACAACCAGTGGAGCGATCCACATATGAACGGATTCTCGTGCTGATGAATCAGTAGTGTGTGCTGATTTGTCTGAGCTTCTTTTTTTTTTTTTTGGTGATTCCCAGGTGCAAAACAAACTATTACCTGATTTTGATAAACACTTGTTAAGCCTTTGCATCCTGTATGATGCATTTTCTTAAAAGCACCAGGCAATAGAAATTTGTTGGCAGTAGCTTGAAAACACTAACTAGTGCTCCACAATGCTGAAAATTGAGTGTGGACTATGTTTCCTTACTAAAGCGTAAAGCCTCATGCAGGCACAGCATCTGAACTTGCTGAAAAATCTATAACAGTTATGAACTTTTGTCGAACAGTCTCCTTTTGCACCAAAATAATGAATCGCTATCTTGTAACCTTTTTTTTCACTGACGTGTCTGAGCACGTGTTTCATTAAGAGGGAAGCGAGTGTGACCCACGTCGCTGCTAAGGCTAACCTTGGCAGCTATGGTACAAAGTTTTAACCCACTATCTTGCTACTTTAGAACACTGTCTAATCAGTCTGGCATAATCTACTGCCAATTTTGCCGTACTAATAATTTTCCCATGACGTTTTACACTTGTCTGCATGTGGAGACTATCAGGATGACATTGCATGTTTTTTAGTAGTATTAGCACTTTGCTCATAAATATTATATCTCAATGCCTTTTGAAAGTGTTATGCGTTACATCTGCATGCAACTCCTTATTTAGCTTTGTTCCTAACAAGAACCTTCCTATTGCAGTTGAAACGGAAACATAATAACAGACCAGGAAATGAAGCTGGCGAATCAAATGACTTGATGATGAGCCCTGGATATGCTAATGCTGGCAGCAGCCCAGTTCCTACACCCCCTTCAGGGAAAGGTTTAAAACCATCCACCAAGCCTAAGGCTATGAAGGGCCAGAAATCTTGCCCTCAGACCCCTTTGAGTTTTGGTGAGTGATGCCACACTTGTAATGTAAACCGTAAATCATCATATTTGGGACCAAAGTACTCAATTCAATTGCAAATACTCTTTCCCAGGTTCTCCGGGCAATCCTTCTACCCCTGTTGGTGGCTGCCGCTATGATAGCTCCCTCGGTGAGAAGAATCAGCTATTGGTTTTCCTGTTTTGCTGTTCACATTTCTGTGGCATCTTGATCAGTTTTCCTTTTCTTTTAATTGCGGGGTATTATTGCCTTTTAGGGCTCTTGACAAAGAAGTTCCTGAACTTGCTAAAAGGTGCACCTGGTGGCATTGTTGATCTGAATAATGCTGCAGAAACTCTGGAGGTTGGTGCTTTCTTTTTTGGCATCTTGTTCCAATCACGATTTTCTTTGGTTAAACATATGCATATGGAACTTGGTTTGCAGGTACAGAAAAGGCGCATATATGACATTACTAATGTTCTCGAAGGGATAGGGCTGATAGAAAAGAAGCTTAAGAACAACATCCGTTGGAAGTAATTATTCTCATTCTCTGTATCTGTAATTGGTCTTTAATGGGCATTACTTAATTCATGTGACCTTTTGTAGAGGAGTTGATGACTCTCGACCCGGAGAAGTTAGTGATGATATGTCCATCTTACAGGTACCATTATTCATTTCTCGCTATGTGACTAAGTTCTTTTGAATTCTTGTGTGACACAATTTGTCGAATTGGGAATGCAAATGCTTAAGTAATGGTTCTTATCTTGGAATGAATATTTGTTCTTTATATTTTTTTTATCAACAGGCAGATATCGACGCTCTCACACTGCAAGAGCGCAATTTGGATGAACAAATAAGGTTAGTCTCCAGCTGTTAAAAAGCTCGTATTATTGTTATGCTTTCACTAAGCATGCTTCTCCAATATTTCTTGCAGTGAAATGCGAGACAGATTAAGAGCGCTGACTGAAGATGAAAATAACCAAAAGTAACTACCTTTTTTGTTGAGACCTGAGCAACCTCAGATGTCAAGGCAGTGCAGGTTTTAGACCTTATTAATGAATCTCTCTACCTGCAGGTGGCTTTATGTCACGGAAGATGATATCAAATCTTTGCCATGCTTCCAGGTACTTCTCTTTTCTAACTCTAGTGACTGAAAATCATTACTACTCTGTATATATATGAATCGATTATTAATCATTACTACTCCGTATATATATGAATCGATTATTAATATTAACTAATAATACCTTACAACTTTCAGAATCAGACTCTAATTGCTATAAAAGCACCGCATGGTACAACTTTGGAAGTCCCAGACCCTGATGAGGTGAGTTGCAAAACCATTCTTGTTTTTAATACTGGGGATCCTGGAGGGATGTTGCTTGTCGCTAATGGAAGCAACTTTCCTGTGCAGGTTAATGGTTATCCTCAAAGGAGATATAGGATTGTCCTAAGAAGTACCATGGGTCCGATAGATGTGTACCTAGTTAGGTATGTGCTCCTTGTATCCATATACGCCTGGCATTGTTATGCTGAAAACATAAATTCAGAATGTACATCTCCAACCTGCCTAACATTGTTTTATTGTTTAATTGTAGTCAATTTGAGGAGATGAGTGGCATGGAGACTCCTCCAAGGCCTACACAGACAATAAGCATGGATCCTATAGAGAATCCTAGGACGCCTTTGGCTGCGAATTGCAACAAAGTCACCGGGATGCAATCAAATATTCAAGAAGGGCCTATCCTACCTTCTGATGTACCTAGCAGTTCACAGGACATTTCAGGGATGATGAAGATTGTCCCTTCGGAGCTTGATGTAAGTTCACTTGCATGCATAATTATCCAAAAATATGTATTAAAGAGAATCATTTTGTCTAAGATCATTTTCTTACTATTTCATAGCATGCCTCATTGCACCTGTCCTCAATTTCTCTTTTGGCTTCACCTTTAGTTGGTCTAGCTTCGTCCAATTTGGCACATATCAACTACTTTGCTTCACTTCACTGCAACTTGTTTTTAGGGAGTATCAACTTCCATATCACTTGCTGTGATGATAGTGGACATGCACGTGTGGCACGTGTCTAATATTATGATATATTTACACCTAAACTTATCCATGAGGGCTACTTGCACTTCTTGGTACATTTCTAACCCGCTGAGATAGCCAAAATATTTTCCTTGCATACCCTCAGAAGAAAGAGTGGCTAGACAAGCATCTGAAAGCCCAATATTCTTTAGTGACTCTTCAAATCTAATTAGTAGTCAAGAAAAGCGCTAATGCAGTTCCTAGGTATAGAGAGTAGCAGCAAGTGACCAAATCATCTCAGGTCACAGGGTTTTAGCTTCGATGCATATATACAGTTCCTACCTAGCATAAACATACCAGAATAGGGCCTTAAATAGCTCGTCAAACGTTTAGACAGTTTTACAAGTAAGTGCATCATTTCTTCAAAAGGACAGCACTCCAAAAGTGGTCCGTACAAGGAAGATATCTATATAAAAATGTCATAAGAACTCAAATATATAGATGCCAAAAGTATGATTGAGCTGGGATGATTAAAAGTAAATCACACATACTGGGACTCTCCAAGGGATGACTTCGCCATGGTGGAGCAAACAGGGTGGACAGAGGACGACATTGGCTGTGTCTGACAGACATGTGACATCTTATCCCCGACGATCTCATGTTCTGATGGATGCTGCTGATCACTTGAGTGCCACTACTGCAAGGCATTCAAGGCAAACATATGAGACAAGCAGTTAAATTGGATGCTGCAACTCAGAATTTTTGAATGGTTAAATTTGAATAAAATCAAATCCGCACTCAAAGGATGTAGGATTTGCACACCTTCTAATAAAATAGTTCAGTATGTGATCCTCATGCAGGGCACTAATTAAGAAGCTCCTATTTCTTTTCCTTGAATGCCATCATGACTGACTTCTGAAAATTTCAACCGAATAAGAATGAATAAATAGCAGGCAGAACATATAGAGCTAGCTACAAAATGAACTTATCCAGCAAGCAGAACACTACAAAATTAATGTAGTTCAAATCCATAATCGTGGTCAGTATTACTCATGCAAATATTAGAATTTCCGAATTAATTCCTAGGAATTTTTGTCATAATTGCAAGCTTCAAAATGGCCTGGACAACCCAACCAGAGCACGGTATATTGCTTAAAAAAGCGCCATAAGCCAGGGATTTCCAAGCTCAGCATATAGATTTAAAAACTGTCATATGGATCAGGAAACATGTTTCAACGGAATGCATTTAGCAGTATCGAATATGCTGCATGAAATAGAAAAGGAATTAATTATGCGTCTTTTGAAATGACTTCAAAGACTCTAAACTCCACATGTAGATCACTCTTGAGGCAAGCTTTTCTTTTGGCCCACTATTGGTGCAAATATCCAGCAAATCATATCTATATTAAAGGCAGTCTTCCAGATAAATTATTGCTAGAAATCCTCCAAAAAGATGTATTAAATAGAATCGTTTTGTCTAAGATCATTTTCTTACTATTTCATAGCATGGCTCGTTGCACCTGTCCTCAATTTCTCTTTTGGCTTCACCGCTTCACCTTCAGTTGGTCTATTCTTCGTCCAATTTGGCACATATCAACCACTTTGCTTCACTTCACTGCAACTTGTTTTTAGGGAGTATCAACTTCCATATCACTTGCTGTGATGATTCAACGATTGATCTGTAAAGAGTTACAAATTGAGTTTTTTTTTTAATCAAGCATCACCATATTCACGGGTTATGCATCCATTTTGGAAACTAGTCTGCAAATTATCTTTGTGCCACTTCTGAATTCAATGGCTTTCATTTTGCAGTTATTTTAATGTAGTACAAGCACTTTATAAGGCATTAACCCCTTTCTATATTGTCAGGCTGATACAGACTACTGGCTCTTATCGGACAACACAGGAGTTAGCATGACGAACATGTGGGAGACAGGACGTATCCTTCTAACAGTCTATGTCACCCTTATCTTTCATACTTGCACTAAGTTTCTCATATAGTATAGTTTGATGTGAACCTGTAAACCCCTTAACCGAACAAAGCAGAAGATGTGGAGTGGGACAGGATTGAAAAATTCAACGCAGAGGATTTCCTGGAAGTGGGCACTCCCCAGCAGCAGGATAAACCAGCCGACGTCGTGGATGGCCCCACCTGTATAAGTTGAAACCTGCCGAATCACGGCGGTGAAATACCTTTCATAGTTCAGCGGCCGCTCCGGTCAACCTGGAGCAGTAGATGGCTGTGAGTGATGTACAGATGCCAGATCAGTAATAGTAACTTACTAATTGTGTGGACCCTGCCATCGTCCAGAAATGTCGATCATAACCGAGAGTGGATGGCTCAGGCAGGCCTTGTCAGGTTCATGCTCAAACATTGCAGATGCAGGCTGAGGCTGCATTGCCTGGTAGTTGTATGCTGTGTATCTTAAGGTCACAGCACTAGGAGTGTATCGAATCCATTTGTAAAATAGCAACCATGATTATTTATTATTTGTGTGGTAGTGGTACTGATCCATCATTTTTTTTAGAAGCTCACATACTAGGAATATATTTTCTATTATAATTTTCGGTCAATGTCGAATATCTTGTAGTACTTGTGTGAGCAATCGTAGATGGCACCACACCATGTCACATACTCACATGTCGGTGCCGCGTCAATGGGTTATACAGGACCATGGTGATGACTCAAAGAAGCTCGTAAGATACCCTATTTGAAGCTTTGGAGTTGGGACACTCCATAGTCAAACACTGACGGCTAATAGAACCTTAGAAAAATGCCTCAAAGCAGAGAAAGAGAATAAAGTGAGTCAAGAACATCAGAAGACTATGGAGAGAATCTTGCCTGCGTATGCAGAAATAACTCTACAACCTTGGTTGGACACTCGGCATTAAAAAAACATAGGGATTGAATTTTGAAGTGATCGTCTCAAATCCGTCTTAACCAGGGAAATCAATCCCATGCATTTAGATGGAAGAAACTCCCACCCATCCTCCACAAACCACAAACTTGAGAAACATCAAAGAATTTCAGAATGATGCATATATATATAACTATATGTATACACAAACCATAAAAGGTTACTAGGGCAATAGCTTGCACAAAAACCGAATCAATCGCTCCAGTTTGCACAGCATATTCAGAACAAGACAGCCCAATAACTCAATGGAATGGATTGGATGCTTATACTCCAATCTTGTCGCACATCTAGTCACCACAAAACAGTACAAAATACGAATGCCCAAGATTCCATCCATCTTGATATTCCAAGATGCCCAAGAAGAAAATTTGGTCATAAAAATACACCTTTCTTTTACCGTTAGGATCGAGTGTCAGGTCAGCTAGTCTGCTACATTCTCTTGAGTGTATACCACTGCATCGTGTAAACCCTAAATACACTCCAGGCTAAAAAGTCCCTTGCTGACTAAACATTTCCGGATGCAGGGAAAAATATAATAATGCTGTATTATATCTTGCAAATGTCCAATAAACCAAGCCCATGCTTGTACTACTCAGCACCTTGGGTCAACAGTTCAACACAATCACTTCTCAAAATTTTCTTCACCATGCATCCCGATTGCTCCATGCTCACAGAAATCAATTAAGCATTCCCTGATATTTGCCTGGCGTTCCAACCTTTGCTAAAACAAGGATTCACCTCAACTCCATAGTGAAATTTACCTTCTCAATACACTACACTCCTAGCTGACGAAGAGAATCTGGGCTGACAAGAAATATTCGCCTTTGACTACTGTTGTACCGGAAGACCACTACTCCTTTGTAAGCTGTTCTTGGGATGCCATCCTGGATTAAAAAAAAACAAAATAAAGAAGCATGATACACTCTGCTGCTTTTCAAATCCCAATCAGCAATTCATAACAGAGCAAAGAACATCTACAACATATGAAAAACTGTTGCTTCACATAATTAAGGAAATTATCTAGATTTGGGTCAAGAATAAACCTTCCATTCTTCGAATATTCCAAATTGACGAGCTATCCGCTCAAAATCTTCCTGATCGTTGTATTGGATCCTTACATCCTCAGCCATATTGTGGGCTTTCAACACAGCATCCGATCCATGGAGAGGAGTGGCACTAGCTACCTCTTTTCCAAATTTGGTTAAAAACTTATCCTAACAGTATCACAATGATTAGGCACTTCTTATGTGAACGAGAGCCTTCGAAATCCAATTATCAGTTCTTACCTCCCCAAGGTAGCTCAGATCCTCAGAATTCCAGTCAATCTGCAGCCACAAATAAGAACAAGTAAATTTCAGACACAAGTAGCTCGTAACAGGATTACAAAATGAAAAATATGGAAAGTTTTGCATACATTAACATCATTTAACCTAATGGGCTCCAAATATTGCTCAAAGAATTGTCCCAAGCTTGATCCCTGCAAAGAAAATATAATGCCAACAATTGTGAGACAGCCACAAATGGCTCGTTGGTTTCTATTGCACAAAGAAATGTGGTACTTGCCGTGGCAGATTCACTTTTGACTGTTACCTGTTGGTCTTTATTGCATGAAGAAATGTGGTACAGGTAACTGCTATTCCTATTGCTATAGCAACTGCTAGTATTTTAATTAAGAAAATTGAGGAAAATAGTCAACGTACATGCTTGCCAAAATTGTATGTTCTACAAATTTCTGGGCGTATGAATTGCCGATTTCCATGTACCTCCTTTAGCCTCACCCAATCATCCCAATAAGTAAAATCTCATCAAGGAAAAACTAGATAAAAAGTGGAGAAATAGCACAGCTAATAATAAAAATTATTTAGGAAGCAGTAAGGATATGCTTTAGGCCACTTTGGTGACAGTTCAATCCAAGTGGACTTTGTTAACATCCATCCAAGCCCAGGAAAGAAATCCGAACGGTAAAGAGCTTCTGCAGAACGCTAGCATAGCAAAGTGAATAGCATTCCCTCTAAATAGGGAAAGGAATTTGAAAGTAAGAGTATCATAGTACAAACTTGGGTCGTGAACAAACTGCTTTTGACCATTGTCGTTCCAAGAAGAAACAGCCATAATCGTCCTTCCGTGCCACAATGATTAGAATAAAAGGAAAGTGAGTAGAGAAATTTATATATCGAGTTCCTCAGATTTGCAATTAGAAAGCATAATAATGTAACATACTTGTCATTATCAAGTAATTTAGCTGCAGCCTCAAAATAGTCAAAAAAATCCGGGGCAATCTCCATGTCATCTATTAATAAATTAATTATGACAACCTGTTGGAAAACGAAAATATGTAGTAATAAATGGAAAAGGATCATCATAGATGTCAGACCTTCTAGAATGATTACTCGAGCAAAGTTATGTTTAATGAATAGGTTGTCCAAGGCCCACTTATAATGTTCTGAACAAGTGCAAGTGTTAGGATTTAGGAACCACATAAAATCCTTAAGAACACATACATCAGTTAAGGAGCACTTACTAGCAATCTTGTAATATGCTGTTAATTCTCCTGGCCTTTCAGTTCGCACAGGTTCAAGATCCACATGCTGCGACATATAGAAAGCATAAGGACCGAAAGCATAAGGACCAAAGAAAGTCTTAGCTAAATGAATCAATTACTACTTTGCATGGAAACCAATTCAACTAACGAAGGGGGGGAAACATACTAGATACTACCATCCAAATTCACTATAAGATGTGAATTTGAATCATTGATTTCCAATACAAGGCAAGTTAGTTTCGACCTTCATTTAGCTCAGTGAAAACAGACACCAGAGTAAAACAAGGTCTTTTGGTCTCTATTCTATATTTCATACTGGAATCAATGCCACCATCCTATTTGAGGTCCTCACAGATATGTTAACCCTAATGCGACCAAAATAATGCAAGTTTTTTCTCCATCAGGGCTATGTAAAATTCCACAAGTAAACTGTTATGAATAACACATAACTGTATTGAACAGCCCAAGGGGTAATATATCGAATGCATTAATGGAATACAAAAAAGGACTTTAGTGCTGAAATGAAAATGATTCCGTTACTCCTAATATGAACATCACCACTTTGTGACAATGTCCAATGCTTAAAATACAAAGAACACAATGGACTGTGTTCTACAGTACCAGATAAATAAGCATAAGAGAGCTCTAAAAAACCAACACAACATTTATTTCTGCACCTGCATATATGTTATTTGTTTATATTCCAAAGCTTTCCTTTTCACAGCTCCATTTGCTCCATCCTGTGACAAGAACCAATGAAAAAAAAGGACTTCCCACACATTTAGTGGATCCAAGAAAAGAAATTGGTATATCAGTACCTGAGATATAAAAAGCGGAAACTTTGAAGCAACTGTTGTCTGATACCTGCAACACATACATTAGCCATTTAGAAAGGGGCTCTATGCACCAAGCTACATTGAGCTAAACAGGGTTAACAGGTAGCAATGAAGAATGCAACTTAAATCTTGTATAGAACCACAAATAATTAACACTAGGTGGGTAATAGTTCCAATTTAGGAAACGTTTTAGGAAATCAAGAGTAGAATACTAGAATAGATTTTTTTTTTCCTTTTGAAAATGAATGATTCAGACGTGAACCATACTTCAGGATAGATTCAACTGTTCTCTCTAAATAGTCCGGTCGATTGCAAGCCATAATGACAACAGCAGCAACAGGAACCACATTATTGTCTAGTAGCTTCTGCACACTCCTTTCTGCATTTAAAAGAAATGTTAAATGAAGGGCTAGAAAGTACACAAGGGTAGAATATAGATAAAAGGAAGAACAGTGTAAGTTAAGTCAAAATACAATTTTCGACCCAATAAGCAGATGGCAGCTGCAAGGTTTAAGTACAAGATGTCTAATTTGGCATTTGGACAACATTTAGCAAATTTTACTATGGTCCATTTGTTGCAATGCTATTTCTAAACACATTTTACTAAGATTTATACACATAGTATATAAAGGTTAAAATATTCTCACATATAGAGTCATGGAAAATGATAGTTGAATTCTTGAAAAAAGGAATGATAATTTCAATATGATATAAAACAGTCAGACTGTTTATGAGTTGTTTACAATACATGGAGGATCAACTATGTGCATAATGCTCCAGTATGGCAAGGTTCTGACATGGTATCCTACAACCTAAAAGTCTTATTCTGTGTATAATAACTGAAACAGTGGGAGGACAAAGAAATTCAA